CTGGATAGGGGAAAGGAAAGACTTTGGTCCCCTAATTTTTCTCTTCCCTCTGCAGAACTTTGACATGTTCATCAGTCACTACAGCAGCGTGAGCACTCCGCCCTGCGTGCACGTCTATAAGCTCAGCGGCTCCGACGACGACCCGCTCCACAAGCAGCCCAAGTTTTGGGCTAGCATGATGGAGGCAGCCAGTAAGTGCCCTAGAAGGTCTCAGTGGTGTCTGTGATGCTCTTCCTATGAGCAGGAGTCAAAAGGGATGAAGGGGGAAGCGACCCGAGTGGCTTTGTTGGGTGGGAAAATGAATCGTGTCCGTTCAGGGGGTGAGGGTGTAGATCCGTAGGGGAGAGCTCGGTCAAGGAAGGGGATAGGGGCTCTGCAGAAGTTGCTTCATGCCCCAAGTGAAAGCAGCTGGCCAAGGTGAAAGATTTACCTGGCTCTGTTCTTAGGTGTTTCTTCACAATTCGCCTAAAGAATTGGCCACTCCATTCCAAGGCTGCAACCTTTTAGAGGATGAAATGCAGCTCACAGGAGCAAAAGACTTTCTTCATCTGCCCGACGATGTGTTCATGGGTGATCTGAAATTCCTTTTGCAGGTTGCCCCCCGGATTACGTCCCGCCTGAGATCTTCCACTTCCACACTCAGTCAGATGTTGAGCTCTATGGGATGGTCTACAAACCTCACGATGTCCAAGCTGGGAAGAAGCATCCCACAGTGCTGTTTGTATATGGAGGCCCTCAGGTAAGAATGCAGCTGGTTAACTGCTGGCTTCAGCCTTGGGATTGCTGCCTGCGACAGCTCCGAGTAGCTTGGTCCTGGATCAAGACTTGTGCTCTGGTTAGGATTGATTGCTGGGCCTCTGCTTGGATCACTGTTTCAAACCTCAAATGACTTCCCCTATTTAAACCAATTTATGTGGCTCTGATGTCTCTTTTCGTGACCGCTGCTCAGCACAGGTTCTACATGGCAGGACAGTTGGAAGGCAGCTGCTCAGCTCTGAAACTTCTCCTTTTGTTCCCTTGCAGGTGCAGCTAGTGAATAACTCCTTCAAAGGCATCAAGTACTTGCGGCTAAACACGTTAGCATCCTTAGGCTATGCAGTGGTGGTGATTGATGGAAGGGGTTCCTGCCAGCGAGGACTCAAATTTGAAGGAGCCCTGAAAAACCAGATGGTAACGTACTTCGAATCTCTGCTCATTTACCCTTTC